GAAGAAAATTGTTATGGAGACTGGTCGATTCACTATTAGAGAAGTTGCTGAGGATGTCGGCGTATCAGTTGCTCATGCCATGCAGTTTTTTCAGAAATTTTGGGTATTTGGCGTGTGGCAGCCGTCGCATGAGCATCGGTCAGGAATTGTGAATGACGTCAATGGAGTTCCAGATTTGCTTGAAAGAGTCATAACTGGTGATGAATCATGGGAATATGGCTATGACAACGAAACCAAAGTCCAATTGTCCCAATGAAAGAGTCCAGGAGAGCCAAAACAAAAAAAAAATACGCCAAGTTTGATCAAATGTCAATGTTTTGCTCACTGTTTTCTTCGATGGCGTAGTGCATCAGGAGTTCTTGCAACACGGTTGTAAGGTCAATAAGGAGTATTATCTTGAAGTTATGCGCAACTTGCGAGAAGCAATACGAAGAAATCGTGCAGTATTCTGGAAAAACAATTCATGGCTTTTGCATGACGATAATGCACCTGTTCAATCGTTATTGCTTGTTCGTAATTTTTTGGCCAAAAACAACACCATAATCAAGCACCAGCCATCGTATTCATCAGATTTGGTTCCCTGCGACTTTTTCCTGTTCCGAAGAATTGAAAAGACCCATGAAAGTACGGCGTTTTGCGACAATTAAAAAGTTAAAAACCGTTTCGTTGAGAGAGTTTGACGTCATACCAAAACTTCATATCAGAACTGCTTTGAGGATTGGAAAAAACGTTGGCACAAGTGTATCATATCTGAGAGGGACTACTTCGAAGAGGCCAAAATTAAAATTGATGAATAAATGAATATTTTTCGAGAAAAATAAAAATTCACATTATTTTTTAACAGACCTCGTATATAAAATAGTTTCAGTACTTTCGTCATTTGTGAAACCGTGATGACTTGAAGATAGCAGCCTATTCACAGTTAAAAATGAAAGCAGTTGATTTTTTATATTCAATTCATAAATCTTACTAAAGCTCGACAGTATACTTATTCCTCTGTAGTTTTCAGTGGAGTGGAGGTAATCTTTTTTTATAGATTGTGTTTATAAGCCCTAGCTTGAGTTCGTCTGGAAAAATTATTTGTTCAACTGATACGTTTATCAAATATCTAGGGAAGGCTCAACTCATAACTACATCTCTCAATTAGATTATTAGATATCCCAACATATTCAGAGAAGTACTACATATTTTTCAGGTTACGAATCAGTTCTGTTACCTACAAATTGAAAGTAACTGATACAATTTACTGGAAAATTTTTACTCCAAGGGTGAATCTCAATGTGTTTCGCTATACAATAGCTTCCTCAAGGATAATGGTGGCTTGAGGAAGCTATTATATAGTGATTCTGAAATTATAAATATATTCTCTTACCTATAGAATAATGTTATTTATTATTCTCATTATTCAAATGGCGCCCTTTATTATTTTTAGATGATAAAATCAAAGTAGGAATTACCTTTGCTTCTGCTTCATTTCCCTCAATTTCTCCATATTGCTAATATATAAAGGATTATTTATATCTTCTGCCTTTAGGAGTGATGCATAATGGGCTTCTAGTTCAAGAAGAAGTTGCTTAGTTTTTCTTGTATCTCGAGAACCCTGCGGAGTATCGTTGTCCTTGTCAGGAGTAACAATATCCATGTCTATGATTTTTCGTGGTGCTGTCACAGATCCACACTGTACAAAATTAGAGAAAGGTTAATGCAGTCAAGCTGCTGGAAAATAATTCCATGAAATTCAAAAGATAAATAGATAAGTACTATTCTGATCATTCCCATATTGGTTTTAATTTAAGAGCCACTGGTAGACAGCTATTTCAACCTATTGGGCATCGTCAGTACCGGGTAGGCAGTCTTCGATTGAAGACAAAATGTGAATAACCAAGAAAAATACTTAATAAAAATAACTGCGTAAACGCAAGCGAGACATAATTGGAACTATCTATTGGTGTAACACCCAAGTCAACTTGCCAAGATAGATAGATAGAGATATTCAGATAGATATCCTTTATTAGTTCTTTGTAATAAAAAACTTTTTCGGGTGTAGAACATGTCAATTACAGTAAACATTATAGAAGTAGTAGAAAACCATGAGGCAGTATCATTATTATTGGTTAAGAATATAAATGGCCACACATGTATGAATAACAATGTTATCACAGTCAATATACTTAATGTAATATTATTATAGTAGATACAGAACACAAAACATATACATCTATATGTACATCACAATGCAGACTGATACGACATGAAATATTCAATGCGAACATCAGTTTAAATTATTTTTGAAGAATTCTTCCAGCGAATAATAAGATTTGGAGAGAAGCAAAGTTTTCAATTTATTCTTCGTGATCATAGAAGACAAAGTTCTGAGAGATTCAGGTATCTTGTTATAAATATTAATGATTGAAAAAGGTATATTTTTTTGAAGATAGGTCGAACGTGTCTTTATATTTGAAAGGTTATTTTTGTTTTGTGTGTTGTGGGTGTGAANCTCCTAAAAATATACCTTTTTCAAAATTTGATATAAATTATGTATATATACATATTTTTTTATATGTATTTTTATTGTAATGAAGAAACTTCCAGTTCATTAATAAACACAGTAATAAATCACAAATGTTTAATAAAACTCTAAGCTCATACCTGCAATTTTCCCAAGGAATTTTCAAACTGTAAGGGTGTGTAAACTCTAGGAGTTAGGGTATTTTGATTTTCTTGCCTATCGCTGTTCCTATGTTGCCTTTTGTTGTTAAAGAGGTTTCGTTCATTCAAGTTCTCTTTATTGCTTCTCGATTTTCTCTCTTTGAAAATCTGAAAATAATTCCAAAATTACGTTGATTTGAAGAAAAACTAAAATCTTTAAAAAAAAAACTATAATTGTGCAAGTCTATTAATAGAATACTTACAAAAACAAATTTTATTTAATAATTTAGAGATCATTCAATTCAGCAGAATGACATCATTATGTAACAATCAGGACCCTAGAGATATCACACATTCATAAAATATATCACACACTTCAATGGATTATAGAACCCTCAAAAAAGAAAAGACTTATCTGGTGAAAGTTTCCTCAAAAAAATAATAGAGAAACAACAGGTATAATAATCCCAAAGAACTCACTGTGTAGTAATAATCATCAAAATAGGGAGTTCCTGTATTCAGCTGCAGCAGCTGAATATTCAACAACCACTGTTTCTCTCTCAAAGTCATCAACCCCGCATATTCATCTCTCGGCTCTTGGCTTTCTCTGTGCTGTTGTCGGTAACCTCCACTGTCATGCCTAGTCCTTTGTTGATGGTTATATTGTTGTTGCAGATTATGTATCTGATTGGGCAGATTTCTATGTAACATGGCGGCATTTGCCTGCATGTTGTTAACGTGGCGTGGAGGAGGAAAATTAAAGGGATGGTTCACCTACAAATGAGCAAATGAATTATTCAATGACACTAGGAAATATGTTTAGCACGTTTATATTAGTCATTATCAGAGATCTATTCTCCTCTTTCTATTATGATTTTTTTAATTATAAACATTTTTAAAAAAACTGAAATTTGATCTAAAGATTTCAGATCATCTTCTGATGACACCAACTTAGCTGACGAAACGCGTCCCACTATAGTTCTGGTATCTGACAGAATTGTGTTCAGAATAGACCTAAAAACAAGGAATGCTTATAACCAGTTTTTAATTATTTGAACATATTTGTATTCATAAGTATCTAGTCACATCATTCCTTATTAAAGTACAAACACACAGTTACTAAACAATTGTCAGTATAGACAATCCAAAAATGTTGCTCTACCAGTTTAATAATGTTCATTTTTGCACTTCTAGTTGACTGATAGAGAGATGCAAAATGTCTAATGGTCCAGTATTCTGGTGTCGATACATAAAAGAGACTGAAACTAAACTCTTAGGTTTAGCCTAACCATGAAGGGCTCATTGCCCTCTAGTTTGATAATATTAGTAATAATAATGGGAAAAAACTCCAGTAATATTCATCTGGATCCACGTCTGAGTTATTTGAAGTGTAGATCAAATAAAGTTGAATTAATGCAGTGAATTATAGTAAAACACAATTATAAGGATCAAACATTGTATTTTATATATGTTTGCAAATACTTAGTTGAAAAAAGCTGGACATTAACAATATAAATGATATCTTTCAAACATATTTCGATATCTTTAAATTAACCTAAAAGATAAAATTATGAGTTCATCATTTTTTTTATTCAATGCAATCAGAAACATATATTTTGCATTGAAAAATGTTTGTTTTCAAGCAGGAAAATCAGATAACATAACTGTTCAATAAAATTGATCAATATTCATAATTTCCAAAACTATCAACAAAAATTAACATCACAAACACAATACAAAAATATCAAATACATTTGAATTCATTTTAAAAATATAGGTTCTATTTCTCTATTTTGTACAAAACCATTGTCAAATTAGACAAATTAAACAATTTGTTTTTAGTCACAATATTTCTGGGATCCTACCGTATGTTATTTCTAAAAGAATAGTAAAATAACATAAGACACAAGTGATATATTATTCACAATTACTAAGGTATAACTAATGTATGATTTTACATTTTTTAACATTTGTTCAGAAATCACAATCCACTAAGCAATCTCGTCTGTTGAAATTTCATCATTTTAAAATCTGTCGTGGGGAAAAGTAGAAACGTGGAGAGTATTTGGAGTAACAACTTGCAATTAGGTAAATGAAATTTATTAGTTTGGATGTGCCTCATTCAGTGTCCCAATATTCACTAACGGACTAATCTATTTCTTTAAATATGCTTTGCAGTAAACAAAAATTATAATTCCCAATGAGATACTTGACATGTAAAATTAAGCATTTACTCAGTTTTTATCAAGATTTAGTGGTATCAGATAAGTGAAGATAACGTTGTTTCCAAAACCATACCATATTTTATTTTGAATTCTTCACTTACTAAAGGTAAATATAATTTTCAGGAACATGCCAGTAACGGAAAAAATATTTGAAACAAGGTCTTTCAGATCAATGACAAACAATTTTCATCTTTCTACTCACAAGTTCAAACTATTTATAATTCTTTTTGAAAGTACAATCAAAACAGAACAATTCTTCAAATTCAGAAAATCACGATTATTTCAAATAAGGATAATAGTATAGAAATTAATATTTCCTGTTACTTCCTTTATATTACTGGAACCCTCTGAATAAAACTACTGTAGAACCTCAAATATTGATTTAGGGTGGCCACCACCAAACACTTTAAAACTGTCATCCTCTCTAACCAGGGTTGGTTTGAAGCCAAGAGAAACATCAGGCCTACCAAGAAACACACAAAAACGACTTTCCAAAAAAAATATTATCTAAGTTTTTGTTTGCCTAGGTAGAATGCCAAAATCCAGTGCAATTCTAGTGATTCATTATAATAAAGAAAATAAAAACGAATTGGTGAAGTTAACTGCCACCATAGCTTAAATGTTCTATAACTAGCTGAAACATATTGATGGATCACACGAGATATATCATGCATTTGTCCAAAATATGAATACAGGTCACAATCAACTGTTTCAACAATAAATCACGTCCTCCACAATACTACTAGTTCAAGATTTTAGCAGTTTATCATTTTGTCAATAATACAAGTAATATGTAGATATTGATTTATGCATACTCAATAATTTAGGCAGGGTCGTTTTACAGATATTAGGAAAACAATTTCACCTATTCTCGATTGACAACGTGAATTATAAAGGAATCTTAGAAATGGAATGGTATGGAACTAGAAATACTCAATCGAAATCATTAATATCAACGTTAATCTGCGCAATTCTTTGGATTACATAATTGTAGTTATTCTACCGCTAGTGGTTGGAATAAAATAATATCGCTATTATTTTTTTTGGACAACTGTATATGAGAATACTGGATGCTCTATATGAAGAAAAATTTTATTTGGCGATGAATTCAAGATGAGATTTCTCATATAAAGTACATTTCGATATAAAATAATCATCAACGAAAGAGATAAAAGGGCTTTATTTGCAATTCTTTTTTAAATAATGTTTGAAATTATTATGAAATACATGAATTCCTCATTTCAATGTAATTTTTCCTCTAATTGGCCTGGAATGCTCAGTTAATATTATCAAGTTCCTGTAGTTTCAAGCTTTTCTGTTTGGTGGCGGTAATGATCATAGATAGAAGTGAAATAATCTGGATTTTCAAAAATATAAAAAGTTAAAAACAACACGAGTATTTCAATTCATTGACATTTGCCTTAAAATCCAATACTTCTTGAAAAATGGTTTTAGTATGAATATTTTACATCTGGAGGTAATAGAATTAATCTCTATTCAATAAAAAGAATGACTCCTAAAAATAGTTAAACATCAGAATCAACAAAGTGTTTTTCTAACAGCAATTTTTTGTCTGGTTTCAAATGGTTAAAACGATTGCAATGTTTTATAAAGATTTGTGAAGGAATTAACTCTATGGGGGTAGCAAGTTTGCTCACTGCTTCGGTTTGTTGAGCCCAACTTGTCAAGTAGTTGAACCAGTTGTTTTGTTGCTTTTCAGACACTGAATCTGTTGTTATCAAATACTCCACTCTAATAAGTAATATCACTAAAGCTGATGTACCAAACTGAAACAGACATGAGAAGTGTCAATTATATTGTACTAGAATTATTTTTCTAGGAAAGCAAATAATACTATTGTTGCCTTACCTTATTCATTAATATAAAATATAACGGTGACTTTCCTACATGACTGAGAGGTGTACTTCTGTTATTTTCTTGCCTTACCACTTCCACCAATCCTGTGACAATATCTAAAATGTCTGATATACTACAAGTTTGGACAAAGCTGAAATGATCGAAAATTATTAATAACAAATAAGACTATAAAGAAAAAACTTACCGCTTGAAGAAAGGATAAAATTTCGGTAAAATATTATCTCCTGCCGTATCTCTTCTACCAACTATTGGTAAACTAAGTAGAACTCTACTCCACAATTCTAACAATTGAGATGAAAACACGTCTACTGCTAAATGTGGTAAAAGTCTCAAAACTAACATCTGAAAATTCAAAAAGTGTTAATGTTTCACAGTAAAATAAATATAATCAAAAGGATTTACCTTGCCCTTTCGAATATTAAAAAAACTATTGAATTTCTCATCTTGTAATAGTCCGTGAATTATTTTCACAATGTAATCATATTGGTTTTCTACTATTGGTTCACTTTCAAGTTTGAATAGCCTTAGGATTTCTTGCTTTTGTTCTGGAGTTGGTGCTACTTCCAATTCCTTTAACCTAAAAAATAGTATATTCTGATAAAAATGAATGTGTGGACAATCAATATATTATGAAATAACAGAAAGAAACCAAATTTTGCGTGCTCACTAAAAGGGAGATTTGATTACAATCGAACTTGAGTTTTTTTTTACTTTGGATGATCCCTACATTCTATATAATAATGGAAAAGTAGAAAACCAAAGGTTTTTTTAAACTCAAATCTCCCTTTTGAACGTGGAATTGTATATTATGAGTCAATATTAGCACAATTTGTATCTTCTAAACAAATTATAGAATCAACAGATAAAGTAAAAATGATACTCCAATGGTTTTGATGAAATTTCCACATATCTGTGATGAAATCTATCCCAAACATAGGTGAAGTTGAATAATGCATTGAGATTTTTTTTTATAAAAAAATTATGATATTCACAAGGGGCATCAACCCATGGTGCAATATTTTGGATTATACAAATTATAACAAATTAAACAGAAATAAAATGGTATTTTCTTAGACTGAAACTGTTTCTCTGCTTGATCCACAAGGAACTTGTAAAAAAACTGGAACAATAAAGGATAAGAGGAAATTTTCCTGTCTGCTAACAAATAGTAACTAACTATGTAGTATATTGATTTAGTGGACCACTCGGTACTTCAGTTTATATTTGAGGACGTCAGTTTTTTAGAAGTAAAAAAAAACAGTAGGTATCAGGGCAACACCTATAATAAAACCGCGAGTGATTTTAATTATTGGTATCAAGTCCCAATACATTACAAGTGGCGACGAGGATTTTCAAGGAATTAGTGTGTAAATTTCAAATTTAAATTTCACGAACTGGAACCACGTCCGAAATTCAAAATGGCACTGTCAGAATACATAGGTCATTTACGAGAATTCGATCCATCAGTGGCCGACTGGTCAATTTTCAAGAGGAGAATCGAAAATTATTTTGTGGCAATCAACAACATTTATCAACGACGATAAACGTAAAGGTGCGATTCTTCTTTACGTGCTGAGTGAGGACGCTTATGAATTGATTCATAATTTATGCATGCCGGCTGAACCAGAAACTAAAAAGTATTCAGAATTGATTCCTTTATTCGACAAACATTTTAAATCAAGTTTATCAGTGTTTGCGGCACGGTACAGATTTTACCAATCGCAAAAACTAATCAGTGAATGGCCTAGAGAATGGTTGGTGACATTGTGCGATTTTGAAAATGATCAGTTAGAATTAGTGTTGCATGATAAATTCATTATGGGGGATAATAAATGCCCAGTAAAAGATCGCCTTTTTGAATAAAAGAAAACGGAAACATCTAAAAGTGTGATTGAAGTGGCTATAACGAAAGCGACGGCGCATCCATCTTTAAATTCAGGAAATTTTGAACCTGTAATAAAGAAGAAATCAGATATTCATTATGCGCAGGTCAAACTCAGAGAATATAGGGAAAGGCAAAGACAAATAGTAGCGGGGATACAACCGTCATCTTCCGGACTAGTGCGCAACCGCAACGGGAACCAGAGAGGACACGCAGGGGAATTTCCTTCCAAATGTAGCGTATGCGGAAGAAAAAATCACCGAGCAGATAAGTTCTCATTTCGAGATTTTTTTTGTCACTCATGTAATAAAAAAGGGCATTTAGCTCCAATGTGTCCCAATGTGTCCCGGAACAAAACGAATATTGAGAATGTTCTCACACAAATTTTTTCCAGTTCAAATTGATTTAAAGATAGATAATATTTTTCGTTCAGTTCAAATACTGGTTCTAGCTTTACAGTAATTTCAGAAAAGGTTTACTATGAAAAATTGAGATATAAAGTTTTGTACCGAACAGAAAATATGTTTAACTTATACAGGGTGTCCCTGGACTTCCTCTTTTCCTCTCGGGNACTTTGTACATTTTTTTATTTATTGAAGCTACATGTTCTTATCTAAATTTTTATCTAAATGATCTCTATTCACAGAACCGGGATGTTTAGGTAAAACGTTAGCTTAGAGCCACACCTGTATATCAATATTATATGCCTTTTGTATTTATATAAAGCTTTAGTTTTATACAGTTTTAAACTTGTGCACTGTATATGTTGAAACAGTATTAAATACAAATATTGAAATATACATATTTCAAAAGAATATTTCTTTTTGTTATAAATTCAAAAGCAAATATATGTATGAATAAAAATTAAAAGGTTTTAAAAGGCATTTCATACATGATCAACAAATGTTATCTCAGAAAAATGATTTTTATCTTTTAACATGTTTCTATTAATTCATTATTTCAGATTTGATGAACGTTTAAAATACTGCTGAAATTTATTTTTTCATCTTCAATTATCCTGCTCAATTGAAAATTCAGGAAGACTTTCCTATCAAAAATTACATGACATTTTATCTTGTGAAAAGGCTTGTTTCATGAATTTTGGTTTATAGTTCACTTGGTAGTAATTTCAAATTGAAAAATAGTGTACTTTGTTTTAGTTCTCTAAATAGTGTTGTTTTCCGTAATTAATTATTAAAAATCGGATTTTCTAGGCTCGTGACGTTACAGGCCTAATCCCGCTTCTTGTTCGATTGACCAATAGGAAAAATACAAATAATGAACATTGTCAATTTGTAAAATTCTCGGAGCATATAAACAGTTTCTGATTAATTCGTGATTCAAAGTAAAGTCACACTCACTTCCGACAACTAAATCTAAGAAGAAAGTGTAATAAATGTATTGGAAGGAAGAATTAATTATACATGGGATTCAAATAACACAAAACGCAATAAAAACGTTATTTTTGAAATATCCGGCAGTAGACATTTTCATGTTGATATCACAGAAATTTTAATAATAGAAGTGTATATGAACCCGTTAACGTTTAAATTCATGAAAAAATTCCCCATATGAAATAAAAGGTACTTGAAAATCATGGTTCTGAATGGAATTCAACGAGGTATATTTTTAAATGGTTCTCGAAGGCTTATGAACCCTAATAAAATAAATCAATTATGCATTCATGCCACCCACCAGAAATAAGAAATTCAACGTTATATATTAGCCATATTGCCACCCAGTCAGCTATCTCTCTTGAATGCATGAGACAATGTAATCTGTAATCTTTCTAATGTTTCATTTCATTTTACATTTACCTAGTAGTTGTTATTACTATGCTATGGTAATTATAACTACTAGACAAATATGAAATATAGAAAATGTTCAAAAACAACGGTCGGCAACAGGCGAAAAAAAATAAGATTTCATATTAGGGGTTTGATATCGAAAAGGAAGGTTTACATACTTCACCGGGAAAAGTAATGGCTATTAAAAATGCTCCGAAGCCAGAAAATATTACTCACTTAAAATCATGGTTAGGTCTTATAAATTATTATGGTAAATTTTTGCCGAATTTATCGACTATATTGCATCCATTATATGATTTACTTAAATCTGACACAGATTTAAGTTGGTCCTCTGAATGTGATTAAATTTTCAATTCTATAAAATCGATGTTGATTTCCTCCCCCATCTTAATTCATTCATTCATTCATAATGCAAAACCACCTTTGAAAAATAAAGTTTTTGGCTTTCTACTACTCCATCTGATACACAAAAAAGGGATGAGAGAATCTTCCAAAGAAAGGAAAGAAGTAATCAATTTGAAAATGAGTAACTCTATACATGGATGTGCAGATCATGCAAAGAAGTAACTTTCAGAAACAAACTGAAAGAAAGTCCTCCTGAAACAGCTACTTTCATATAAACATTGAATTACACGAAAATTCTCTTGGAAAAAATAGATCAATAGATTTGAACAAAGTGTTGAATAATTTTCTTTTCGATTACCGTAACGCGGTCCACTGTACTACTGGATACAGTCCAGCGGATTTAATGTTTGGCCGTAAATTATGTACACGATTCGATATTTTTCTACCCGAAAAAAAATTAAAGAAAAGGAAGATTTGAGAAAGAGAGTTTAAGAAACAAAAACATTATCATAAAGGTAAAAGATTTATAGATCTTAAGGAAGGAGATTTAGTTATTGTTAACAACTATGAAAATGTAAGTCCTACTTGCATGAAAGGGGAAATAATAGAGAGATAAGGAAAATTAGTGTATTTAGTGCAAATTCCAGAATTTGGATATATGTGGAAGAGACATTTGAATCAAATAAAAAAATATACTTTCAAGGAAGCTTCTCTACCAACGCAAGTATATTATGAGACAAGTGATTTAAACGCCGTTTCCATGCAACTTAGATAAGAAACAAGGGATAATTTAGACAGTAAGAGTAGTTAGGAGGAAGTACTAGAGACCTCCCATTCATCTCAGCGTACAATGGCCAATGTAAGACCAAGACATGAAATAAAACCCGTAGATCGGTTAGAATATCGAAAATTGTAATTTTTTTTTTTTTTTCGTCTAGATTATGAGTATTCTGTTTTTTAATTTTTAGGGAGGAAGTATTGTAGTATATTGATTTAGTGGACCACTCGGTAATTCAGTTTTTAATTGAGGACGTCAGTTTTTTAGAGGAAAAAAACAGTAGGTATCGGAGTATGTATGTAGTCGTTCAACAATAAACACCTATTTTAAAACCACGAGTGATTTTAATTATTGGTATCAAGTCCCAATACATTAGAGGAACAATGCTGGGGCAGTATTAGTCCATTTCCTCTGTGATACGGACGGAGTTCGCAGTTCTGTTAGCCAAGCCAAAAACTTGTCCAAAGAATTGGAGAAGTTGATTGATATTTCCTCCAAGGACATACCACCACCTCACCGGTCGAAACTTCACAGTGCATATATGGGGAGTCCTGCAGGTATCGACACACGCCAAGGATGACATTTCAAGGCGAACAACTGAAATATTATCGTTGAGGTGACGTTTCGGGTTTCACCGCAAATGACGTCATCTTTCTTATTTTTAATGGCACACCCTGTATTTCACCTCATTTTTCAATTCTTTCCATTATTTAGATTCTAACTCATATACAAAATGAATGAACCGTTTTCGACTTATTCGAGTTTTTTTTAGAAAAAGTAACAGATGCAGCCTCTCGAACATACGTCATTTTTA